GGGGGTCGTGATGGAGGAAGCTGATTATGTGGTTTGTAAAAGGTTCCTTGGGCCATTGCCTACTCCAAATGGTATCACCAATATATGGACTACCCGATCCAGGCCCTGACTGCCGCCATCAAGCTCGGGGGAATACACGGTCACTGACCGTGGGACGTACCTCACGCTCAGCAACACGGACAAGGATCTTGCGGACCAGCTCGAGATCTACAAGCGCGGCGATGAGTACGAGGAGCTGCTCAACCCAGCCGATATCATCACCTCCAAGGACTCGGATAACAAGGAACTGGCGCGGGGCTTTGTGCAATGGGTCCTCAGTGGCGATGGCCAGGATGTGATTGCAAACTTCCACAAGGAGGATGGGTACTGTCTGTACAAGGGATTCCCAACCGATGATGGTGAGGATGTTGAGGCTTCGGACTGCAAGTGGGAGCTGAGCTAGATGATGGTGTGGTTTGTGGTGGATGGAGGCTAATAACTAATAACACATCTCAGTTATCTGGGTGGTGGGCGCGTAGATACGGAAGAATATAAAAATAATCCTAATCTAATGCTATATCAGTGCATTGTTCTAAATGGGAGGCCGTTGCCACTATTTCTGTTGATATTAATAACTTCCTCATACATGCGAACTATATTTGTTGATAGCCGGAGTCTTGCGTGGTAGACGCTCAGTCTCTCTTAGAATCAAGAGTAATTTACTTCTGAGATGAAATGCTGAAGGTCTCTCCATACAAGCTGAGCGTACCTACACAGCACTTCAGAGATAGATACAATCGAAACCTAGGAATTACATGGAGAGAAAGTCAATTTTCACAATGTAAATACCAGGCTCTTCATTGATAAACGCAAAACCATCATATAAACGAGCGGACAGTGGACATCCAGCCTTCCACCCCAAGCGAGAATAAACCAAAAACAAAAACGAACAAAACAAAGAATAAGGTAAAATGAGGCTAGTAATCACCAGTTGGCACTCCATTAAGAGGAATATGCTGGCCATGGAATCCAAATCCAACCGGTCCGTTAACATGCGCTCTGCCCAGTTCTTTCAATGTATGAGCATCAAGGCAAAGCAGATAGCTTTTACCTGAGTACCCATCTAGAACCACGCTGAGAAGGACCCCGTCGTCTTCTTCTAAGCCGTCCGGACGGGGAACAAAAATCGGCTCTCCGGGGGATTGGGCGTGGTGATGCCACAGAAGCGTCTCCTTGGTTTGGCTGTCGAATTTGATTATTCCGTCGAAGAAGGTGGATTCGCCGCGGTCTGTAATGGCGTATGAGTATCGATGCTTCTGCGTGACCAGCTTTGGATTCATAGTTGGCAACTCGGGAGAAAAGGCTTTGCATGACGTCCACTCGGCTGCCGCAGTCTTAACCTCGGTGCTAGGGCTGGCGGGGATATCTGAAAGTCGGAAACGGGCGAATTCCGAGCGGGAAGTGTCTTTCTTTAGTTGGGCATGAGCTTTCGCTTCAGCTGATGAGGATACTAGCTTCTCATAGTATAGAGTATGCAACGTATCGGTGGTATCGAATCTAACGAGTTCTGCTACAATGTCCACTCCGCTGCCACTTGCTGACGGTTCTTGCCAGGCATTGATCGTATGGAAACAGAAGAACGGAGGGCTCTCGTATGTAGCGACGAGCCCTTGGCCTTGGGTACGGTCCACCACATACCACTTGGTAGGCTGGGATGCATCAAATGATTGGATGGCTTGCAGGAAGCTGCCTTTCTCGAGCATAGTAGGATTGATGTGAGAGTTCCACACACACAGAATAACATAGTCCTTTGAGAGAAACAAAGAATGGAGATATGCAGGTGTTCCCTCGAACGTAGCAAGAATTGTAGTTTCCCTGTTGAGGCAGACACATGGAAGACGCGGTAGGTAGAAGATTTACCAAAAGCGAGATTGAAATTATAAACATCTCCAGTTATCGGATCAGAACGTGCGTGGGATGCCGACATAAGCCCATCTAGGTCAGGATGTAGATCCTTTTGTGAAGCCAAACCGACAGGTTCAAGGGTGTCCGGGTCGATCTTTTTGTAAGAGGCGGAATCTGTCTTTGCATACAGAGTTTCTATCCCTGAAGAATTGGTCCAGCGCCCGCTACTCTGATCGCTTTCCTTCATGGCTTTATCGAGTCCTGGCATGTTGACGGAGAGTGTCACGCCGACGTTGGCTGAGGAGGGATCAGGGTTAAATTCGCTCTGGGCCTTCTGGTATACTGTCTTGCAAGGATCGCGCTTCTGACCAAAGCTGATTTTCCCAAGGCGGCCAGTCTTTCTCGCTTCCTCAATCAAGAAGTCCGTCGAGAAACGGGAATTGTAGAAGACTTTCAGGGAAGAGTGGGTGGTATCTGGCGCAACAAGTTGAAATCGATGAGTTTCGCTGAAGCCATCGAACCAGTGCGATACTTGAAACGTCTCCCCGTTCTCCCTGTCAACCTTATATTTGCCTGGTCCCGTGCGATAGAGTACACCCGCAGCATAAGAGGGAATGCAGCCGGTGACGGTGAGCTCTACAGGAGTCCTCTCCTCGTAGTTGGCTTCAAACTGCCTATGGTCAGCATGGATATGAACAGTGCAAACAGTATCACTACTACTTACGCCTCGATCATTGGGCCAATTGTTAAAGTGAACTTGGGACTCTGTAATACCCGTTGCAATAGTCATCTTTTTCTTTCCTTCCTTCCTTTATTTTGTGCAGAGATGAGTAATAAGAGGATTGAAGTTCAAGTATAGGGAGGAACCTTGACAGGAGAAGATATTGGCAGGTCAAGAACCAATCCTTATATGTTCAATGGCCTTCAAGATTTGCAATAAATGATTAATATTCAATCGGCTAATGCCGTGGTAAAGTTCTCCGGCGTTAGTGGTGGAGGTAATCCGTCAGGTCAAGAGTGTGGAGATATGACGATCGTATCCACACCCCATTCCCCCGAGGTTACTTGGAAGCACGGACACCCGTAATAATAATAACAAGTCATTACGTTGCAGATGCCATTGTTGAGTATTCACATGGCATCATTGCAGATTCCAAGAAAAGAAGAAAGGAAAAGGCGCCGAAAAGATCAATGCTTGCAGAGTTCATCGGCATGACAATAAATGCAGGGACAACTTCAAGAATTGAAAGGCGCCGAGCAAGACGCAACGTACATTCTTTCTAGGCATGAACTTTTGGTTTACCTCGGCGAATTGGCTTTAAATATACTTGTCACGTTTGTGTAAGAATCGAATAACCCTGTTCTCTCGGGCAAACCCAAGCATTGTTCGTAAGCAACGTACGTTATTGAAGCCGTCCAGGGTTCGGCATAGATGATACTCTCCCTGAGCTAACTAAACGGCCGTAGGCTTCAAACCAAGCGTCTCTGCCTGGATAGAACGTCTGGAGCCCAAGGTCCCAGGTCGAATGGTTCAAGCTATGGTTGTCGCTCGGTTGGCTTTGTTCCTGACTCGAGTCGCTGGATCCACCTTGCAAGGTCACTTCCTCACCTTGATGGAGGCGCTGGTAAGTGCATATTCGGCTGCGGATGCAACACTCCGAGCACGGAAGCTCTCCACTACATGACTTTTTTGCTTTTGCACAGCCATCGCACGCGTGCTTTTCTTTGCCACCATGGCGTGGTTCTGGGATACACTGGCCAGATTCTATCCGAGCGGAACATGACTTCCAGTGGCGCCGCAAGGCATCCCTGTGGAGTATTCTGCGTCAGCATCGCTAGAGTTTACCTAAAAGCCCTAAATGCGGCGAGAGCCAAGAACGTACCCTCGTTTATATGGCGAGCCACAAAACTCACATTGATAAGGTCTTTCTGATGTGTCTTTTAACGTTTAGCCAGCTACGTAGTTAGGGAAAGTGAAGGTGGGGTCACGTACGTGTACCTATATGGCGTTTGAGATGATCGTATCGCTGAAAATCGGAGAAGCAAAAGTGACATGACCATAGACCGTTTAAGTTTCGGTGCTCCACACTTGCTGTGTCCTGTGCCTCAGCGGGTTTGCTTCGGATCATGATTGGTGATTTGTAAAGTAACCGATTTGATCAGATATCTGCGAAGGCGTGGACTGAGTATTTCGGGGGTACGCAGTATGGATAGACCGGGGGAGCGAACCCGCGACTAAAAGCATGGAGCCTTCTGGATCGATGATATTTAAAATGAACAATTACCTGTAGTCCCTGAGGGATTAGTCCAATAATAGCCGAGGAAGATGTGGTTCAGCCGATCACACACAATGAAGATATTACGAGGGAGATAAGTCATAACACTGGAGTGGAAGCGCGATGGGGCGATCATGTTGGCTAACAAACAAGTTAAACAGCCCGGCGGCATTCCTCCACATCCGAAACCCTATCGGCCTTCCTCTCATGCGATTGGCCATAGCCCCGTGACATGGACCCAATCAGGAGTTACCTCTTTTTGAAATACTTCATCCTCAGGCATCCTTCACCATTCTGATCAATAACATGGATGGCTTGTTGATAATGAGCATTCAGAACTCATAGCATACACAGTCTTCACGTAGAGGTTTAGTGTTTCCATGTCAATGTGATTTGTCTCATCATGAAACAAGAACAGCTGCTTTGTTCATTAAGTATAAACTAAGAATTGTTGCCTGTAACTGCTCCCCAGATATATGCTGCCCAACTTCCTAATATAAGAAGGACTAGGGCGCCGAAGCAACATAGCGAGATCCACCAGCTGCGACGTGCATGTGTTACTAAACTGCGTTCCCTCATACGCTCGATAATCTCAGGGCCATAGGTAAGCCTCTTCTTCCGAGTCCATTGCAAAAGGCCCAGTTCATCGGTCAACGTGGCTCCAATAAAAATAGCCAGCCCAACTACCACGCTGCACGCTGCTAGAAAAAGATATACCCGAACCGCCCGGCGGTACGAGTCATTGTCTGCGTCTTGGAGTGCCCCCGTGATTATTCGCACGATGATATTCATTCTGCCAGCGGGTCAGTCCAGTTCTCGTTGATACGGATTATAACAAACGTACGCATTATTCATGGTCACTTTAATTGCATATGCAGATCCAAACACAGATTGGTGCCAAAGAGAGGTACGGATTCCGTCGATAATGGTGGTTGGGCCCAAGGCAGATGCAATGGCATATATGCCAAACGCTGCGCCGGTACCTGCTTCGGACGAGGCAAAGTTCACTAACGTCATGCATAGAAGCATACCGGCTCCGCAAACACACACTGGTTCATAGTGAGCTTTGTGGGCGGTAAGATGTAGTCAACTATTTGTACTTACTAATAGTTGCCCGATTTCCAGCAATGTCGATGAATGCACCCAAACAAGGCACTAGAAAGAATCCTATAGAAGATTAGTACGGGTAGGTAGAAATGCCTGAGATTACTTACCAGAGTACTGCGATAAGGCACTGTACCAACCAGCCTTGATCGAGTCGACGTTGAACCGTTTCTCCGCGAGTTCGGTTGCATTCTGACTGAAGACGAGGGCAGCACTGGTTTGGAACAACGAGAACGCCAGAATACACCAAAACATCCACGGCAGTTGAAAAATCTTCTTGAGCTCGAACTTTTTGTTCTTCTCAGTCAGAACTTCTCGTGTTGCCTTGTCCTGCCGACCCTGGTAGTGTCGATTGCAGTAGCGGCTGTAGAGCCAGAAAACAACAGTTGCGGCATTGGTGAACAGGTTCATAAACACTGACGTCCAATATACCCAGGCAAAATTGCCAGTGTTCTGTTTCATGGGTCAATAAAGCTTTAAATATAATTAGGGGACAATACTTACTTTAGCAATTGGATTTGCTGTCGATTTGCCAACAAAGCCGCCAATCTAAATAAGTCAGTTTAGCCCTTTTTCTGAATCTCTATTGTAAAGAACGTGATGAGAGATATACCTTCCGCATGGCTAGTTCGAGTCCAAGCGTTGAAGCAAAGCCATTGCTAGGGGGAAACCACGACGAGAACATTTTGTATTGCGCAACTTGCGTTGCGATATCGCCCAGCGCCAGAATAACTCTTCCTCCGACCATGAAATTAAACGACCGAACAGTAGTCGCGGCGGCAACTAGAATGGACCCGATCGTGTAGACGACATTACCGTAGATAATCATTTCTAAGTTGATCAAACGGGATATTAGTTCGCGCTCGTTCCCCTAGGTCAAGCACAACTCTACTAACCGGCACCTCCCACTCGGTCAGTGACAATGCCGCTACCCAGCATGAGCAGAGTCACCATGAAGTCTTCGCTTGCTTCGAGGAGAGAAAACTGGGTATTCGAGATGTGCATTTTCTGCATTGGTAGAAGTCAGGTCATGTTTGTGTCGACAAGTGATGTAGGCAAGGTACATACCTTCTTGATGGTGCTTTTCATAGCACCTGTTACGCCAGAGCTCCATGACGAGCCAAAGCTAATACAGGAGATGAGCAAGACGGCGATCAACTTAGCCATCAGCGGTGGTGGCTGTTTTCCATCTCCATTGTCGTCGGTTTGCTGGTCCTGAGCCGGTGACGAGGGTTTAACAGGTTCGTCAACTGTAGCCATAGCGACCGGCTTCTCAGGAGCCTCCATGGTAATATTCCAGCTCTTTTTTCAGCTAAAATGTGATTCTCTGCTTGGGTCGAGAGCCAGAGTAACTTCAGTGATGCTCTGGACGTAGAGGAATCGACTGGACGACGAGGGAAGCATGACGAATCGACTAAGTATTTATTTAGAAGGTCTAGAAGTCCCGGAATGTGGCGTGGCAGCGAGCGGCCAAAACCCGGTGGACAAGTTTATCAGATTAGATGTTAGTGGGCTTGGTAAGAATGGCTATGACGGTATTTCCCCGGTGTGTTAATCTAGAAACATAAGGGCGAGTAATTGGCCCTAAATGTTTTGAGAAACACCCAAGTTAAATTTAGTGTGAGAAATGGCTCCACTGATTCGTTCTAGGGTAGCCTAAAAGAGAGGAACCCGTTGATTGATAAGATTAAGCGCACGGAAAGTGTCCGAAAGCCAACTAAAATAAACAACCTGAATCCTGATAGTGGGGTGTTTTTCTTTTTTTTTTTTCTTTTTTTTCCCCCTTTCTCAACCAACTTAAAAGCACATGGTCTAGGTCATTCCACGGAGTTGACTTTCCCTGTCAAGCTCAGATACTCACTGAAATCTAACTGTACGAGCAGACTGGCATACTGAGTCAGTCTACACAATGCCATTGCACAGACAACCTTACAGGATGTTCAGCGGCGTTGAATGGCTTTTCAGACATTGACCCCATTCAGCCACCCTATGCAGCCCACCCTAGCTCCGAAAGCCTACGAGGGATCCCGAGAGACACTAGGGAGTAGGGACCCAAAACCCGGCGGGCTCTTTAAGCCGACAATACCCGGCTCCTCTACCGGTCCACGTTCCAGATCCACGTGCAAGATTTCACCGATCGTGATGCATTCTGATGTATTCTCCACGTGGGCTTCCATCCGCCTGACACGCCTGGTTTTGAGTAAACTCAACTCTAGTCTTCTCCAGCGTGTATGGTATCGGCGATCATATCAGATTCTAGTCTGGTTTGGAATGCACAGATCAACACTGCCCAAGGCAAATGGTAGCCCTATAGGGCCATATGTATGAGTTTCACGTATTGAAAACCTCAGTCCTAGTGATAAAAAGGTCACGTTTCGCCATTCGAAATAGTTGCTAACTGTTAAACACT